TAGATAGATAGATATAGATATAGATTGTCATGACATGGACCAACAACCAATCAACAATATCGTATAACACTTATTACGTAACATCTGATTTATATAATTACCAGGTCGAATCATAAATAAAGTTAGTATTATACCTAGTGGCATTCTGAGTGGTTACTATAGCATAATAGGAAACATTACAGTGGGAAAAAGTTTGGTGAACCCATTCGCAGGCTAGAACCCATAGAGAGGCCTGCGGAGGAGGCTAAGTGGATATTATACATAGGGCAATTGCTAGATAGTATACTTCAAAGTAAGATTTCCGTTTTTATTCTATTTTTAAAATAAGTTAGGGTTAGTATTAGGGTTTAGTTTTGTGTTAGGATAGTTTTTTCTACGTTATAAAAACGGAAACCTTATTTTGAAGTATACTATCTAGCAATCACCTTATACATAGCGTACTGACCATAGTCTCCCGGAAAGGTACTAGTATTTGATTTTTTTTTAAATTCATAAAATTGCTTTAAAATACAATGCTTATATTCTCGCTTGATTAATTTACACTAAAACCACTATAATTCGTATTACATGAAGTACGTGCTATATAGTGCATGCGCATAGCCACAGAATAAAGACACACAGAAGGTCGACTCAGCTGCACAGTTTGAAGAAGAAACTCTAACCCTGATCCTAACCCTAACCTCTAACCCTTAAGTCTTAACCTCAATATAATCCTAATCTAACCCTAATCCGAAGTTGATCCAAAATTTGCGACCTTTTTTGTCTTTTGTTTTTTGCGTAAGGGCTATTCGTCATGATTCCGTCACTCAGCAAGTACCGTAAACAGAAGCAGTCCCCTGGAAACATTCAAAATGGCGCACGTCCAGGGCACAGAATAGATACCGGACCAGAAGGGACACTTCTATGTGTTTTGACTGAAGGAAAACGTCCGAAATTTTTTTACGTGCAATGACGCCATCCTGGAGTGCACACGGCACTTTGTACCTATGTTTTCCTATGAAAAACGTCCGTGTGCACTCCAGGATGGCGTCATATGATGGCGTATTTTCACGTCAGCACTCGTAAAATTTCGGACAAATTATCGTCTGAGTGACACTTCTGGTTGTGTATCTATTCTGTGTCCAGGGGGTGACTGTTTCTGTTTGTGGTACTTGCTGAGCATTGTTGCTGACTGACGAATCATGAGTCAGATTGGTCAGATGAGTGACATGACGAATAGCGCTTACGCAAAAAACAATGGAGATGGACTTCTGTATAGTATTCTGTGGCACTGGCTAAGACCATGGCGTCAACATTTTTGATGACGAATTACGGTTACTTACGCCAAAATCATAGGAAAAAACAAAAAGTCGACCTTCTGTTTGTCTGTATTCTGCGTTGCATCATTATTAATATACATACACGCGTATGAATGTTTTTTAATATACATATCACGCGTATGAATGTTTTGCTGCCCACACTCAACAACGTTGTGAACAATACTGTTCAGTACTGTTGGGACAATGCTGTTCAAGGCTGACGATTCAACAGGAACGAACAATGTTGTTGCGACAGTAAACTAAAAATACAAACCATAAACTAACAATCACCAAGACTGGACTTCAGTACACTGTAAGCATATTTTTATAACATGTGACATATGTTGCCACCAGATATAAGATCTTCCAGCTCGTTACCAGCATTCAAGAGTAAAGCCCATGAATTGTTTTTAGATAAGTATAAAAATAACTCTTAAGATGTACTGTAATCTGTATGTTAATTCTAATTTAATTATAAGTTTTATTATTTATTTACACAAAAAAGGTTCCCCATAAGCGGCACAAATTAGCGTGATATCATAGCGTGTTACATTGTTTCTCAATATACCACGAAATTACGTCAAACGTGGTATATTTGTTTTCAATATTCCACGGTGATGTCATAACTCCAAATTTGGGCAGCTACCGAGCGGATACGACGATTTCACCGACAGCTCTTAGCCAATCAAAACTCTTGAATTATTTTCAACAAATAATAACAAAAATTACAGGATTATTTTGCATTCTATTCTAGTCATCCGCTGTCGTGTCATCCGCTGTTGTGTCATTCGCTGTCGTATCATCCGCTGTCGTGTCATTCGCTGTCGTGTCATCCACTGTCGTGTCATCCGCTGTCGTGTCATTCGTTGTCGTGTCATCCGCTGTCGTGTCATTCGCTGCCGTGTCATTCGCTGTCGTGTCATCCGCTCTCGTGTCATTCGCTGTCGTGTCATTCGCTGTCGTGTCATCCGCTGTCGTGTCATTCGCTGTCGTGTCATCCGCTGTCGTGTCATTCGCTGTCGTGTCATCCGCTGTCGTGTCATTCGTCGTCGTGTCATTCGTCGTCGTGTCATCCGCTGTCGTGTCATTCGCTGTCGTGTCGTTCGCTGTCGTGTCGTCCGCTGTCGTGTCATTCGTCGTCGTGTCGTCCGTTGTCCTGTCATTCGCTGTCGTTGAGTCAGACGTGACTTTAACAAGTTCAGAATCTTCAGATGTTGTGCCATCATCATGCTCTTCCATTATCAAAACCGTCCGAGCTCGTTTTGAATCTTCACCAACTGATTCTTCCACCATGTATTTCACATTCAATTTCAACTTTTCCTCCCATGCTTTTTTACTTTCTTCGCTTGTTCTTAACCCTACAATATTGAATATGTGCGGTATGATACCGAGACTCGCGGTTGTCACAACTTGAACCACACCAGTAACATTGAATTCATTTAGCATATTGATTAGCTGTAAAATACCAAATGAGAATGCGAAAGACCAAAATATTTTCAATCCAAAATAAAATAAGTTGATATCGTACGGTAACAATTCTTCTCTGATTTTATCATAAAGCTCTTTCGACACCACAGGTAATACTTTTTCCTCGCGTTTGGGATGTCTATTTGGTATGCAGCCATTGTTGACGCCCTGTTTGTCTCGACATGCTTCATAAATTAGCCGTTTTAACACACAGTATTTCTCTTCCATAGTCTTCCAATAACTGCAACAGTAGAATATTAGGACAGCGAAAAATGCGAAATAGGGAATGAAGTAAACAAGATTCAGAAACAATCCTAAAAGGAAAGACAGTATCGCGGGTATCGTTGCGATCAAAGCAAAAAGGAGAAAAACTAAAAGGCCAACCTGGTGAAACAAATCCAAGAATGGTGAAAACCCTTTCTCATATTCCAAGTTTTGAATCAGAGCTAACATGAGTGCTGTGTGGACTACAAGATGTATAATTACTAGTATTATGAGAAAGTGAAATACAATACAAACATACAAGAAACGAGTCGATACTGCAAGTATGTGACACGGACATAGCGCAAAAAATTTGAGAATCTCATTTCTGAACCGTGTATCTTCTACACATGTGGTAAAAGTTGGAAGCTTCTTTATTATCTCTCTCCAAAGATTTATGTTAAATGGGAAAGTTAATACTTTAATCACGCCTGTAAATTCTCCACTGTCAAATTCCTGGCGTAACTCGTCAACATTGTGTCCAAAATATTCTAGAATTTCGAAGTGGAAATGATTGCACCTGCTATTTCGTTCATTTTTTATATCCTCAAGGATATCCTTCGCCTTCGGAATCTTAGGTCGGTACAGACAGGAAATTGAAAACGATACTCCCCAGAAAACGAGTAGAATTCCCAAAATAACATGGTATATATTTGACCAGTAGCGGATTATTGGCCAATAACGCAAGTAATAGATGCATGAAAGGACACCTATTAATACACAGCTACGGATAAAGGACACTAGGCAACTGTTTCTTTCCCAAATCATTTTAAACAGAATAAAAGATGCCGACATCCTGCTTTCCTCCAGCTTATAGATCTTGTATTCGGAATACCTTAAGTCGAACTCAGTACAAGACAAAAACACGAATAGCAACCACAACAAATAAAACCAGGCAAAAACAAACAGCACTACGGATATAACATCCCAAAGAACACTACTCCTGTGAAGAAATGATTTTGGTTCGGAGCAGCCATCATTGAATTTCGTCGAATTGGACTTTGTAATCTGACAGCAAGTTCGTTTTACTTCTCCTGATGAAGTTCCCTTATAAGAAGAGCAAACTTCGTGGTTTGTTTCCAGGTTTATGCTGCGAATTATATTCTGCGTATTCTCGAGTGCAAAATCAGTTGCATTTTCTTCCCTTTTAATGCACTCGTTTTGATTCTCTTTGAAATGTAATTTAATGTTTCGTACGCCAGCGTTCAAAGTCCACGGAAAAGATCCGAGTTCCTCTCTCGCAAGAGTGTAAAGAATTTCTCGACCGATGGGATTAAACAATGAAACATGAAAATCCGATAAGAGATGTTTCTCGTCACCAGTACCAGAGAAGGAGACATGAATATCCACTACATTAACAAAATTTCTGTTAAAAAGTTCAACAATCTGCGAGATTTCGCTCTCTTTCATCTCCAAAACACAATCTTTCGAAACAGGAATCGTCGTAGACGGCAAAGTCGACAACGTAGTGCTGATGTTTAGTTTAACGCCGTCATGTAATGTGTCGTTGTTGGAACGTGCAGACACAACGAATGATATTAAACCACAATAAAAAATCAACGAGAACATATTGATTTCATTTGAACATTTCAACATAGCAATAAACTTTCTTCACAATAAAGGTGATTCAACGAAGAGGATTCGACTATAGCCCCAGTTACACTACACAGGATCGCATCGGAGCGAAGCGATTTTTATAGCGATTACCGAATTGGGAGTGGTGTTTGGTTGGAGGACTTTTGGGCGGAAAAATTAGGGCGGGAGAACGTGTGTCACATCCGGCGAATTAGCGAATATGACATGAGATACTTACCATGCAAAACACACACGTATTGTGCTGGCATTGGCAGTAATTTTGTATCGAGTATCGTTTGCTCGGTTTCTTTTTAACTTTCGCCTTCAAATTAACATTGTTGACATCTTGAAATTCTGAAATCCATTCATCTGAACTTCGGCTGATAGGTCCCCGTGTAGTGGTTGATAGGTTACCGTGTAGTGGCTCTTAACTTGAAATTATGTTTGTCTGACGCGCAGAAATCTTTATTCCAGTATTCGCAGTTTTCCGGCAACAGATCTTCTTTCTCCAGAGGAGCTGACCAGCTTGACACTAAATTTGTATGCTTTTTCGGATTCAAAGTCATTGACGAGAGCGAGTTCTGCTGTTATGTTTTGCTCTTTATTTTAGTTTCTATATATCTAGCTTCATTTCAGTTCAATATTCTTGTGTAAGTAGTAAATGCGGTAACCCGGGGTTAAAATTTAATCTGCTGTTTTAGTTTGTGTATTTCTGCACGTCTGTTTATTTCGAAACTTCAGAGAAGTAAACTCCTATCAATCCAGACAAGATCTCTGAAGACATATTTCCAAATTTATAGACAAGCTGTCAGGAAGTTTGCTTTGAATTTTAGGTTAACCTAGGGTTAAGCTAACCCAGCTTTGAACAACCGGCCCCAGTTGTTTTAAAATGGTGAATATAATTTTGAAAATGCAGCGTTAATTTCATAGATATAGGAGACCTAGATTGCTAATGAAAGTTATGAAGAACTATTTATTGTGAAGGTTTTGGATGCTATAACTAAACAAGTTGCGGTGAAACAATATACAAGTATCGGCTGCTGAAGTGGAGGTGGAGTCCATATAAAATATACACCGGATATCCGCGTCGTGAACTTGGCGTATAGGCGTAAACGTCACTCTTTGTCTCTGTATTGGACCTCGCAGGAAATTGTCATTCGACTGGGTTCATTCGTGAAATTTTAATTTTCTTTGCCTCTTTAAAATTGAAAAGACTTGTCTTGGCCCATTACAGTCGATTTCAGGTAACTTTTCAACACGCTGTTCGCAAGTTCGTTGCGAACTTGCCAATTACGTTATCAAGTTCGGAAGTTGGGCGTGAATAAAGTTCACAAGTTCATTTCAATGTTCGAACTTCGATTGTAAACAAATGTAAAAATTTTATTTATAAATTTATTTAGAAAGGCATTTTCGTCTTAGGAGACCACTGGACTAATATTTTACTACAGTAATATGTGCATAGAACAACCTTGTAACAAGTCTGATAATGCCATCAAGCTTTTTACAAGTTGTTGACAGCTTGTTCCAAACTTGTTATAACAACTGGGAACAAGCAGTGCGAACACAACTTGTCGACAGCTTGTGAAGATTTGTAACAACTTGTTTGCAGACTTGTAACAACTTGTGCGTTTTTACGTGTGTAATAGGCAAGTTCGCAACGAACTTGGGAACAGCGTGTTGAAAAGTTACCTGAAATCGACTGTAACGCGAACACTGTTGCAATTACATTCGCACCTTCACGCGCAAACGAAATAGCGAATTTGTCATATAGAATTCCGAAGGAAAAAATGGCAATATCCCGGAAACAATTTTATGGGATTCTGTGTAATTGCATGATATTGATGAAATTTCTAAAGTTGAGAGTTTCCTTTTCCCACCGCCTTCCATTTCCCTTTGGCGTCAATATAGTGGCCAAGAAAAATAATCATGATCAGTATTATTATAAACGTACAAAAATTCAAACTCAGAAGTCTCTACTATACTCGTTTTACCTTTATGGCTTTACTGGCGCACAGGCAAATTTTCCACCTCACCGATACTAAACAGTTCGAACGTCTTATACAATCTGAAATAAATTCCAGGGTTTACAGTGAGCTGTCGTTCGCCAAATCTTTAAATGCGAATAAAAATTACATTTGACGAAATGGTTCCAAATCAAATTTATTTAGCCAATAGAAAAAGGGAATTATGTACAAAAAAGACTATATATAGTATTACATGGCAACCGTAAGGCTTATTAGTTTTGGGCTACTTTAGTTGTGCTAGTAACAGGGATAATTCGTGCATAATTAGAAATAATTGCGTATTCACTAATAATTACTTAATATTAAACATCGATTTTGTGACAGTTTTTAACTTATGTAGCAAATGAGATTAATAATTAAACATTCAAAGATTATATTACGATCTTTTTTTAATTAATTCTAGATATATTAATTGATAAGTACAGAGGTTTAATATTGTGTGATTGTAATGCATGTCAGTTAAGGCCTGTTTAAACGGATCCAACATTGTTGGACCAACATCATCCAACAATGTTACTATAATAGCTATGACTGCTTCTCTTTCAAATCTTTTTGGTTCAATAAGCTTTACTCAAACCCTAAACCTAGTCTTGACAAAATATTTGAAAAAGAAGCCGTTTGAGCCATTATTTCAACAATGTTGGATGATGTTGGTCCAACAATGTTGGATCCGTTTAAACAGGGCTTTAGGCTAATGTCTGTAATGTCTGCATGTAAATAATGTATTATAATTATTATAACGTAATTTTAGAGGACCAGATTGGAAACAAGTGAGTACCTTCATCTGTTAATCCTCATTAAATAAAGTGCTATTATTATTATTATTAGAGACATGTATTTGCTCGTAAGTTCAAGTTTAAATAAATATTACGTATGATATGTCATAAGATAAAAGATAGAGATTTATAACAAGAATTATTATACGGAAATAATATTCATATATTCGGTCTCGCCACCATGTAATACCGGCTCTATATATTCAGGGCGCGATAATTAGCATACGCCAATATGACGGTCTGCTACTTCTTTGTTTTCAGTCAAGTGCCACATAAGTATGGGAACTCTTGCTATCTGCATATAGCTAGTGGTGGAACATTCTCGAGTTCTTAGATCAAGTAGTAGTTCTCAATTCAAATTCCTCTAATTAAGAAACATATATACAGGACCAGCAGCACATCTTTTTAACAATTTACTTGTAGAAAGTAGGAATTGCAGGGACTACCGAGTATTTTGTAAAGAGGCCAAGAATTTCTTAGTCTTGAAAGCATGGTGAAAACTTGGCTATTTAACTTTGAACATAAATATTTTGTTTTAACTTGTAATACAATAGTATTTTTATATGTAAAACTTTGTCCTGTCAAACATGTTAACAGTTATATTGAAGGCTCAATCATACTGTGACTTAGTTGTTTTATATAGTTCATTTTGCATTATTCATTAGACAGTTAATATTTTTTATTTTCTGTAATTTTTCATGTAATATTACTTAGCTCTGAAAAGCTCCATTGGGGAGATTCAATAAATTATTGTATTGCATTGTATAGGGGTGGACACTGTGTCAAGTTTGTGTCTATCATTGCTTCCAGAAATGGGACGTCAGAGGGCTCAAATTTTCATATCTGGTTAGTATTGTTGCCAATGATATATTGCATGCAGATGCTCACCAACATTACATATGAGTCAAGATTTAGGATTCAAATATTTCCTGCAATGTTTTTGTAACACGCTACAACGTGTGGTCATGAAATATGGTGAAGGCGTACTGCTGAGTACATGTTTGGTGAAAACTGAAAACTATGAATTAAAAACCGCGCACGCTAATTCAGATACCAGGTGCACAGATTTGAAACCTAGGCGCACAAAATATCTGAAAAATTTTGATCTCGGTTGCATGCAGTTAAAAATGATGCTTTTCCAAATTGTCAAATTCATTTACTAGGTAAATTTCTGCTGTGATGCTTTACTTTTTCTTTGCTACTTTCTATCTTATTTTGATTCTTATAGAGCCTTATAGTGTAGACTTAAATATCATGATGTAAAATGTCTTTTGTTTACATGTACATGCGTCGGCTATCATTTAGTTTACTTTGACAAAAAACTGACTATTTATTTCAACTCAAATTATTATCGGGCTTTGAGTTGTCGTGTAATTTCGAAAACGGGTGTAATTTTTGTAGTCTATACTGCGCCCTGTGTAGAACCATGGATTATAGTATATCATGGTAGAACCGGAGGAGTTTGGGCAGCTGTCACGTGAATTTCTCGACCAATAAAATCGTGTTTATTCTCATCGTGTTTGAAAAAATTTTTGGGCTTCAAATTTTCAGTGGATGCAGAAATGCCTAAAAATTGCCACAAAAGCAAGAATAACCACAAACGCAGAAATACCATTCCGTCAATTTGGCCATTCCGTCAATTCCGCCATTCTGTCTATTCCGCCAATTCCGCCATTCCGTAAAATACATCATCCGATAATTATGAGCGTGCTCATGAGCTAGGATACTGAAAATCTGGTATGCTCATGAGCACTGTTACATACTTTAGATATTATAGTATACATAACATAAATACATGACTGAAATATAATACAAGATATATTGTTTATATATTGTACAAAATACGAGACAAAATACAGTATATTTCGGACTGTACAATCCAGCAAACCACCCTATTGACTTTCTAAAGTCGTTTCTTTTTGGATTTTTTTATTAATTCTGTTAGGGTTAGGGTTAGAGTTGCGGTTAGGGTTGCGGTTAGAATAGGGGTAGGGTTTGTTACATAGCTATTTAACACCTAATCCATCTTCCGAAAATGACGTTAGGTCAGTTTGCTGGATGGAAAATAGTGCTTGCAAATTGTAACACGATATACACCTAACAAGCTCAAAGGTCTTCAAAGTTCAAAGGACAAAATTATAAACAATAATAACTTAAAACAAGACATAAACTTACTTCTCAAATCTCTGTAAGACATTTTCGTCGAAAATAATGTTTTTATAGCGAAATTTCTAAGCACTTTTCCGCAAAACTTTGCAAAAATTTTCTAATTTGCTAAAATTTCAAACAACGCATGCCCAGTTTGCGTACCCGCTGCACTTCGTTTGTTTACGTTTCCCTGGCAACCGCGGCTCACCTTGGCAAGATTGTAAACAAAAATCTAAATGATCGTTCGTTTAGTGGTTTAGTTTGATTTTGTTTATTTGTAAATAATTATGGAGGCTGAAAATGCCGAAGATAGTTTTGGGGACTCGGCTAATCCCTATCAAACGACAAGACTTTCGCTCTTTGATATTAATATGGAGAAAGCAAGAGCTATGAATAAAGTAAGCCAGTGAATGCACTAGACGCCATTGGGTTTATATAAATTTATGTTCAGCTTCAGTCTTTGACACTGTTTTATTTTGCTTGCTTAGAAACATCTTATACATCGTGTCATATTTGTTGCTAAAATAAGTTCCAGTGTCTCAGAAAGGAGAGAAATTGGAGGTGGGTGCAAAAGCTATGCAAGTCTATATAGGGGCAAGGGTTCACCCCCCCCCCCCCCCCCCTCTGAACCTTCCAGCTCTCCCCACCACCTTGCAGATGTCATGCACCTAATAGCAGTAGTGATTACTTGTACAAGTGCTATTAAAGCAAGCAACATTTTTGACAACACATACGGCTGTCATACACAAAGTCAATCGATCCAAATACTGATGGTGAGTGATTGTGACAGCCACTCTTGTTTGAAATCACGAACATATAACTACTTCGACTACCATTCTTGATTTTAAGCAAGAACTGTTGACACCATCACTGTGGCTCCATTGATTTCAAGCAAGAATTGTTGACACCATCATAACGGCTCTACATACACATTGTCAAAATGTCGCTTGTTCTCTAAGGACTTGCCTTACCCATCCTCTTACATCCCACCTACTTCACACCCTTGCATCAGGTGTGTATGCCCCCCCCCCCCCCCCCTCCCATCATCCCACTAGTAGCAACTATAAATTGCCTATATGTTCTTACAACTCATTTACTAGGTTATTATGAAAGATTATTCAAACAGCTGCATTCTCAAATCCAAGGAGAAACATTCACAGGCTTGCTTCTCATCTATCCATCACATATCGTCCACATTGTCGAGGTACTCTTGCATTTTGAGAGCTGCTATGCAGGCTAAGGTACTTTTTACACCTGCAACTAATACAGAGCTAGCAACAACCTTTCTCATGTTTGATTTTTAGACATCAACAAACATATTGCAGGAAGTAATAAAAAGTTTAAAAAGTGTTGAAAGTACCAGAAGGTGAGTGAAATACTGTCATGCATGAAAAGACACAGTTTAGAGAAAGACTCTGTATTTAATTTTGCTTGTTTATTAATTAACCTTTTAAGTGGCAATGCACCCTGATGACTCTACTTTATTATTTTACTCTGTCTAACGGCAGTGCTGCCACTCAATGGGTTAAACAGTGTCTATAATATCTCTTGTTAATTTATTAGACAGTGCCTAATAATATCTCTTTATTTTTTGTTAACAGTGGACTTGTACATCAAGTAAAAATTTTGGTATATGCCCATGATGTATCCTTTGAAAATCCTCTCCTCCCTGGCTAGCTTTGGCACGTTTGGTCAATTTTGGGCTAGCATTTGGTAAGTATGACGTCACATACGAAATGAAAGAAATGTGACGTTGACCAAACCTGCCAAAGCCAGCCAACCTGGCTGATGTAGACCACTTCATTTCTGCACAAAACGAATCTTCGAATAACTTACCTGCTAAATTGAGGGAAAAATAAGTTATTTGGGCCAGAAGCACAGAATACTACACAGAAATCCATCTGCAGTGGTTTTTGCGTAAGCTCTATTCGTCATGATTCATCACTCAGCAAGTACCGTAAACAGAAGCAGTCACCCCCTGGAAATACTAAAAACGGCGCACGTCCAGGGGGGTGACTGCTTCTGTTTACGGTACTTGCTGAGTGACGAATCATGACGAATAGAGCTTACGCAAAAAGCAATGGAGATGGACTTCTGTGTAGTATTCTGTGATTCTGTGCCAGAAGGCAGTCAAAGAGGCTATTTGTATGCAATATGTCCTTACTACCTTAGCCTTAGAAACTGACCAGTGGGTTTGCCTCATCTTGTTGCATTCTAGCGATATCCAACCGACGTTTCGTTCCTTTCAAATTTGATACTACTATCACAATTACTATCACAATTACTATCACAAAACGTACGTCAGTCGCTATTAAAATGAGTCACGTTGCGCGCGTCATCGGTTTTGCGATACAAATTTTGCGACAATTAATTTTCAACAGTAATTTTGGGTAAAATGAAATCTCACCCACAAAGAAACGCGAGCATATAGTCTGCATTTAAATGTCTCTGCCTAGATTACATCAATTTTTATTTGATTAAACTCCACTTTGTTTAAAGACACATTGTCGTTCTGACCAAAAAGGTACGCCCTTCTTTTGTCATCAGCTCTAGATCCGTTTTGGTAGAAATTTAACCCGGAAACTACTTCTAGCCTAGTATTAAGCCTGGAATGATCTTATATTCTTGACAAGATAAACCATACAGATCCCATCAAGGGTATTTACTCAATGGAGTTTTCGAGTCTTGAATATTCCTACATCACGAATGGAGAGTTACGATACCACGCAATCAAGCGAGACTGTTGTAAGTCGCAAAAATGATGACATTCATATAATACATTCATATAAATTAATATTTCTAACTAAAACATACTAATACACTACTAATGAATTTATTTATAACATTCTGTTAATGCATAGGTATCAGAAGCCATCGTACTGCTGTTAAAACTGGGCCAATACCTCGCCAAAATACCGAAGGTACGGCAAACATTTGCAGCGGGCTTACGAAATGGTTTTTGCGATGACTGGAAAAGAGTAGCCTTAATTAATAGTTGAAGTGTATAGTAGTATAGTTTGAATTAGTTTCATATTTCACAGCTGTTCCAGGTTATAGGTCTGATATTGTATACAGGGTGTCCCGCGCAAAAAAGTATACCTTTTGAAATCAAGTCTTTGTTGGAATTTGAATGCCTTATTACTATGCTGAACGGAGTGCGTAAACAGAATAGAAGTGATGTTTGTGATGTTACTCTGAGTATATATCCATACCGGGCAGGCTTGAAAAATATGCCTGGCCACGGTGGGAATCGAACCTACGACCTTTGGAATACTAACCCAATGCTCTGCCAACTGGCAACTGAGCTACGCGGTCTGGTCGGTTGGAGGGATAATCTCTCCGTTACCATACAAGCTGCCTGCTACACGAAAGTTTGGATTTACATTAGGTTATTCAAATACATTTTTAGGTGAATCTCAAGGTAGCCATGGATCAACTACACGAAAAAGTCCCTGACTTGCTATTACCACAAGGTAAATCGGTTCTATTCTATTGCGATTAGATTATGACTATGAGTGTATAGTGTCTATGGCCTTCGATGTAAAGGATGTAAACTTATACAGGTGCAACTTGGGATATTTCAGGCTTTGACATCGTTCCTTTCCTTTCCTACACTTCTTGATTGAAGTTTTTTTCTTATTCTTAGATATGATTGAATATTTTTGTGAATGTAACGACTTGTGTTCTCCGAAGGAATACTTAGAACACTACGGGAAACCTTTTGAAATTGTCTTGGATAGCGGTAAGAAATTAGCCTGAATTTCGTTCACTCGGAAATCACTGAATTCAGACCATTGAACTATAAATAAACTGGAAGGCTAACTGCTATGATGAAGGCCTATGATTTGATGAAGCCAAAATAGTTTTTCTGAGTTATGAGCAGAAATACTTGACCCCAAACGTCGTGCTTTATATCAAATTGAAGCTATTGAAAATTGCTATTCAGTGTGGAAATTTCAAGACTTCAGCGAAAAGAAAAATATTTAAAAAATACAAAAACAACTGCAAAACGGCAAATTATCGGTAATTATTTTTGTAGTTTTTCAATATTTCCCTTTTAGCTAAAGTCTTGAAATTTCTACACCAAATAGCGTTTTTCAATAGCTTCAATTTGATATATAGCTCAACGTTCAGTGTTGAGTATTTCTGCTCATAAC